TGAGCCAAGGTTTAATTATAGGAAGTCTTGCATGTGGTCCAAGAATGGATTAGGTTAGATGATGCTGGGATCCAGAGCCCACCAAATCTATTTTGACCTATCTTCCACACTTCCCACAATACACTAGCTTTGTGCCTTTGAGAAGGTCACTAACCACTTAGTGCTGTATTTGTAGAATTGGAAAATGTTATTAACATCTCATCAGGTGGTGAGGATTTAATGAGATGATGCAGTAATCCCATATTGTAAATCCTGCCATGCAAAAAGCCCTCCAAATATATTAACTACTATAATAAACATCATTCATAAAAGTACTGAATGCCAGAAGTCCTTTAGCGCTCTATCTCCCTGTAAGGGGCGGTGGGGGGTGGGGTGGGCCAAGTTTAAACTCTCAGTTCTCATTCATGATATATCTTCAGAATGTGACATTGTCCTGGGACCTTTCTGAAGGAGCAGCTCAGTTTGGTCCTGGAAAAATATTTTGTCATGGAAAAGAGTCTCCGTGTCTTACAGTGAATGACAATGCCTGACTTTGTCTACAGCTTACTTTGGCCTGGATTTGATGATGAGCAAAACACTGATGGTCAATGTAGGGATAATGGCAGCTGAGAATGTTCTGGTGAACAGGATGACTTTACTGGACCTAGAGTATTCCACCAATGTAGAGCTGGCATACAGAAATGAAAGCAGGGTGTGACAACATGGTACTGGGATATGGATTGGGGAAAAAAAATCATTCAAGGTTAAGCACAGGGTGAGACTTATCAGTGATAAAGCAGCACGATTTCCAATGGGGGCAAACTGTATTCTCTGAACCATTAGTATAACTCTTGTACTTCTCACACAGTGTTTAAAATGATGGTGAGATAATTGATTTTGCATTAGTGATATCAGGCATACTGTGTAAGAAACATTACAAGCCTTCTCCCTAGTTGCTTGCCAAAGCAACCTTGAGAAACTTATTTATTTATATTTTTTTTAATTCTTAAGTACATTTTTTTCTATAAGGTCCTGCCTGTCCCAGATGCTGAGGAATAGAATCTACCTAACCTTACAGGTTGGCATGCCCTATTGAGTAATCCTGGGATTCATCAGGTTTTGATAAGAATGTGAATGGTTTTTGAGGGTGTCAAGGTAAACACAAGTTTGGCTAAAATTTGGCGTCCTATTGTGACTGTATGTTCCCTGTGCCAAGCCTCCAAGTACACCTTGGCTAATTGTCAGGAATGAACATTCAGAGAGTTAGAGCCTAGGGTGATGTGAATAGATTCAAGTTTCACAAATGGCTAGTGAGTTCAAATACAGAGAAGAAAGGACCTCTTTGACTACTCCAAAAATCATGAAAATAAGCATTGAAGAAAGCAGATGATTGGCCTCAGAAGAAAATGACTTTCCTTTCTGGTTCCCTTTTTGTGAGTGGCACAATATTTTCATAGGATTCTGCTTGAATGAGACAATACTGTTTCTGACTCTAAGCTGCATGTATTCTCTTTACTGATAGGAGAAGCAATGACTAAAGGTGGTGACGCAGAACATGCTATGGATTAATTAAAATGCTGTGAATAGAGAGGTCCTGATGCAAATGGAATTTTCAACACAAGAAAAAAGCAATTAAACACAAGTGAAGAAAAATAAAAGTTGCTGGTAGTTGATTCATCATAAGCTAAAAAATGTCAGCAAAGGCCATAAATTGTTGTAACCCCTGTCTAGCAAAGCATAGTTCTAATAAAACAACAGCAGCAACCATGATCATTTCAATAATAGCAACATAAGTGTTTCAAGTTAACAAACTATGTACTGTTCATGAGAGAATCCAGGTTCGGTGGAGCATAGAGCTTAATCAATCTGGGCTCCCTCTTTGAAAAGGATGCAGAATCACTAGTGCACTATGACAAGGGCATCTCCTAAGTAGGGGTGGCAGGCAAGAAAAGGATTCCCAGTTAAATTCAAATTTCAGATAAACAATGAACAACTTTCTTAACATAAGTATGTCCCATACAAAAATTGGGACACTTTGGGGGGTTTATTGTTGTAGTTGTTGTTGTTGTTTTTGCTAAATCTATCTACCTTGCTCCCAGGGCTTTGGAAGAGGCCCAAAGAATGTAAGAGGAACCCAAAGGTGAAGCATCATTAATTTCACAGTGAATCTGTCCCTGAACAGGTGCTGCTAATTTTGCATTTCACAGCTGCAGAAATTGAGGCCACACTTAGTAATAGATGTGGAAAATCACACATTTAAAAGAATTTGGAGAGGCTATGGGTGTGGCTCAATGGTAGAAAATTTGCTTAATAGTCATGAGGCTCTGGGTTCAATTCCCAGCACCATGAAAATAAATAAAATAAAAAATACCAAGTCAGCGCATGTTCGAGACCCTGGGTTCGAGATCCTCAGCACCACATTCAAAAATAAACAAGTGAGATAAAGGTGTTGTGTCCAACTACAACTAAAAAATAAATATTCAAAAAAAAAATACCAAGTCAAATTTTTGAAAAAAAAGAATTTGGAATTATCCTGAAAGTTACCAGTATGAACAAAAGGTGAAGACTGAGGAAGGAAGATTGCGAGTTTGAAGCCAACCTGAGTCACTTAACTAGACCCTGTCTCAAAATCAAATAAACAAAAAGGGCTGAGGATGTGGCTCAATGGAACAGTGCTTGCCTCACATGTTCGAGGCCCTAGACTTAATCCCCAGTTCCTTAAAAAAAAAAAAGAAAAAAGAAGTGAACAAGAGATGACAATACAGTGGTGGAAGGAATGAGAATTGTTCTGCCTAAGTAAGAGGTCAGGAAACATTTTGATCATGAATCAAAAAAGAATAACAGCTCAGAACTGAGAGTGACTTCATAATTTAACTAGTCCAGCCTGGCTCCAATGTTTGAACGCCCCCAAAGACTCCCTAGCCAATGAGCATCAGTTATATCATAGCAGTTTTAAACCTCAGTCCCCAAATACAAGCATGTGTGCAACAAATCTTTTTTCTTCTTATTTTTTTTTCATTTTAATAAAATGAAATCGGACTCTGAGGCTCATGGCTGTAGGACTCACAGGAAATGTTTTGTTAGGATTCCTATAGTCCCTTTCACCTCTCAGGGTCACTTTAGAATTCAGGAAGCTTAAGGGGTGGAAGCTATTACTCTTCAGCCTGTCACAGTGACCCCTAACATCACAATTTTTTAAAACTCCCAATGTCTGGGAAAAAGCAATGTTTTTCCCTTCTGTGCCCTGCATGCAATACAATGCTGAGACTAGAGACCCTTTGCTTGAGATCCAGCCTCCTTGATGATCTTATGCCTTGGACCTCAATCCTGGTGCTGACATTGTGACCCAATGAAGACCCCCATTGACTCTAGATCTGGGGTATCTCTGACATTGTTGCTTCTCCCTTCTCCGGGGAAGTCTCTCTTTTGCCCTTTTCCATGAGGCTAGGAGTGAGAGAGAAAAGCCATCACAAAAATGGACATATTAAAATTTTGATATATTAACTAGTGTATGTCTTCAAAAATCTGTTGTTAGGAAACTCACTAACCCCAGGAGCAACCTGTTCCCTCATTGATCAATTCTGACAGCTTTAAGCTGAATTCCTATTGGTCTCATTTGAACCCTTGGGAGCATGCAGAGACCATACAATCTAAGAATGACAAGGAACTTTAAGTTAATCTAATCTTTTTTTTTTTTTCCTGCACAGAAATAACTGCTGAAAGCACCATGCTGAATGGGATTGTGAGGCCATACTTGGTCCTGGAAGGAAACAAAGGTCTTGGTTAATTATTGACAACTGATAGAAAACATGGTGGCATCATAAGAAATTGTCAAATCTGAAGTAATGCATCTGCTCAACTAGATCCTTCAAAGACTTGAAGCCCCTCAAGTTGTCCTTTCTCCAGGTCAAACAGCAGCATCTCGGTCAGGCCTTTGCCTTTTGACTCAACTCTTAAGTTTTCTCATATGTTGTTTTCTTTCTTCTGAGCAAAAGCCACCATTTACATCTTCTTCTTAAAGTATAGAGCTCAGAATTGATCACAAAAATGTGTCGATTTATTTGTGAGAAATACAGGTCAATGAGTCTACATCTCCAAAGACAGTCCGATAAATGAAAACAAACTGTAGATATTTGATTTGGCCATAATAAAAAATTGTTAATTTGCCTTTAGTTCCTCAAGCTTCAAGTCTCTATGCCTTCAAAATGTTGGTCCCTCTCTTCTTTGTACTGTCTTTCTTTACTTTCTTAACTATAAAAATGACAACTGGTTTTTCACTTTAAAATGACATCTCTCCTAAACCCTCCCATCAGGGTCAGGTGCTCTTTCTGCATGCTACACCTGTGACATCTTTGGTAAAACACTTCTCACCTGCTACTGAAATTGTCTACCAAGTTCACCATACTTTCAAGTTGATTGTGGATTGTGGATGTCTGACCCACAGAATTACTCAACTTTAGGGTTGACTTTGGACACAATACCTGGAACACAGACAAAAATATTTGCTAATGGAAATAAGTCACGTGTCACGAGTATGACAAAATGCTTCAGGACAATCTGAGAAAGTCTCCTGGTATTCAATGAAGGCATGAAAGTGGTTAGGCAAGTGTCTGTTGGCATTCTTCTTTTATTTATTCTCTCATCATTTATTACATACTAGAACAGTTCTGTCTAAGGCATCCTGTAAAAAAAAAAAAAAAAAAAAAAAAAAAAAAAAATGATGTTAAGGACACTTGCTAGGAGCAACACACAAAACCTCTACTTCCCTCTCCAGTCATCTGATAGCCATTTTCACCCACTTAAGCTCCTTTAACTGGAC